TATCTTGTATCATTGACAGGTAAAATCATGCCTGATGTGAAAAGTGGGAAAATTCAAAGCAGGCTTTCACAAAAAGGGTTTAGATCCAAAACTAATGGAAGTGAAAGATGCTGCTGGTAGACTTATAAGAGATGAATACATTAGAGGGTTATTAATGTAACCATAGTCTAACAAACTTATCACTCTATCCTTTAAAGAAAGGCAAATTGGACTTTAAGCTGATTTGTTTTTCCTCACTTGGAAAAACAATCGAATAAAAACAAAAGTTACATGTTGCCCAGGATTACAATTATAGTCATAATCAGGTTATGGGTGTTTCCTGATGACAGAGGGTAAATTTAACACCATATCTGTGGTTATTACTAAATTTACTCAACTCACCTGTTGAGCCACCATTAATAGGACAATGCACAGTGCTGCTGCTGCTTTCTTTTGGGTGAAGAAGCCTGTCTTCTGCATCTTTCCAGTGTTTGCTGGTAAGTCTACGGAGATTCTTTGCTTTTCTTGTCCTTTCTTTCTCTTTGGCTACGTTGCTCAGCCTCAACCTGGTGGCCTTCTTGATTTCCAAGACTTTGTGGAGGTCTCAAGCACCCCTGCCAACTTCCAGAAGTGAGAAGAAGTGAATCTGGAACCTATAAGTCTTTTCAAGTGAGCCTGACTTAGGGAATTTCAGGAGGGCTCGGCTCTCTGTTATATAGTCGGGGCCTGATCCCTGGAGAGGGAGAGCAGTGAGGGCGGGAGAGGGAGTCACAGTCCATGCAGCGTCCACCCCATTTGCTTCATCTCACCCTCTTTGCCTCTCTTATCCAGTCTAAACGTCACATGATGCGTCCAGTATGTTCAGAGAAAGTCCTTTCTTATTACAAAGACAAACACATTTTTTTTCCTTCTGTGTCTAATGTGAGCACAGAGGCTCCATACACGGCACACGTGACGGTAACACAAGGACAGCTGGGTCAAACTCGTTTGAAAGAGGTTGCTAAATTTATGTGTGTTTCTATTTCAATGCATGTGAATGAACTTTGAGGATGATAAGGTTTTATCAATCTGTGTTCTGCAATACATATTTGCACTCGTACAGGGGACCTTATATAATGTAGCTGGTGCAAATTTATGAGGGTAGGGTTTACATAAGCAAACATAAGCAGGGACGCAGCGCATGTGGTATGTGTGACAGATGTGTGCAGATGTTCTCAGTCACTCCAAACCGACTAAGATTAAAATAACACCAAAATTAAAATGTCATTTTCTTAAAACTACAAAAAGAGAACGTTTTATTCATCATTATATGACAAAAGATCAGACTTAAAGAGAAAATGTAAAC